AAGCAGTTGGGACCTATTCTTAGATCACCGATCTCAGTGAAATATGGTCTTGGTGAGTTTGTCATAGCGACATGGATTATTACGATGAAAAGGCGGTCACTGCCATTCCTTTTTCACCTCTCTCTTTTACTCTCTTTGACAATAAAACTTGCCCATTTCTCCGAGCAACCAACGCGTACACGCTAAATACATTACACACTTAGAACCCATAATGATGTTATATTTGAAATATTTGTTTATTTATTTACAGTGTCCCCAATTAGCACATTAGTACTAAATACATCGATACTTAAATAATTTTTTAAAAAAAACTACGCCGGAGACAAAACGCGGCTTTATTTCTACAAATATCCCTACCGTCCACTCTAATCTGGAGAAACTGTCCTCCGAGAACGGAGCTTTTCGAAAACGCTCTTCAAACCAGAGAAATTTGAAAACGCCGGCTTTGCGTTTTAGTGTGGACGGAAAACATTTCATTTTGAAAAGGGAGGTTTTCCAAAACGATGACGTTACGATAATCATGTGATTAAGGTCATTCCATTGAAATAGAACCTGCATTGAGATTTTTGTGAAACTTTGCCTATTGATCGTTTATATTATAGGAAATTAAATTTTGAAATAAAAATGAGGGGTCCCCATGTTCGTTTAGGAGCAAAAGCACCTTGTTTATGCCCATATAAATCCCTATAATAGCATCGTGATTGTAGTCACGATTGCTTGCTAAATTCACGTTTCCGACGATTGCTTTTTGTTCTACACTGAGAATTGGTCCGTAATTATTTTACACAGAGAAATTTATTACTCAATTCAAAACAACAGAAAAAAATGATAGGTCACCGTAGTCGTTTGCGAGAAAATGACGATTTACCTCTATGGCGAGGTCCAGCTGTAAAGAAAAAGTCGCCATTTTTTAATGCGCGCGCGCTAATCACGCGTGAAATTATGCGCAGTAGGGATGCGCTGGTCATTAATCATTAATTAATCACTGATAAGGCCTTACTTAATCTCTCGCCTTATTTTACATACACTCGCTGCTCTTTGCGTTGCTCTGTCAGAGGACAAAATCGATTTGATCGTTTTAAGAGTTTTAATTCCCGCTCTTGCAAAAAGGCGTGCAAAAAAAACTGCGTTCTTTGTTCTGATTAGTGCACAACCCCACCCAGTTTTCAAAAGGGAAAATATGCCGGTAATAGAGTCCGTTTTTAGCGTGCATTTGTTTGGAGGAAAAGACTGATAGCTGTTTTTCAGTCTGTTAGGAGCAACTGCTAACAGGTTCTTGGATTAACTGCTTGGATTAACTGCTTCTTGGTTAGGTTCAAAAGATTCAACAGATGATTGAAAAGAGACGGTTCGGTCCTGGCATTAAAGTCGGCAGCGTGGAAGAGTTTCAGGGACAGGAGAGAAGAGTGATTATCTTATCAACTGTCCGAAGCACCAACAAGGAGTATCTGGAAATGGACAGAGACTTCCACCTTGGTTTTCTTAACAACCCAAAAGTAAGATTACCCTCTAAATAGTTCTGTTAAGGAGACTATTCATTTGGGTGATCTAATAGGACCACTTGCGGTCGAATTTGGAATTGGGTGAAAGGAATCTGCTTGACTACCTAAATCGGACGAGGTAGATCAAGAAAATCAGCTTTTGGATTCAACTAGTTTCGAACTCGGCAGGCCTGCGTCTGTATGTCGTGTTAATCGTGTATGGTGTCCGAAACTGTCCAAATTACACGCCAAACATTTATCCAGATTAGTTTAGGACAGTTTAAAAAATTAACTAAAACTCGTGCGCACCTTGTTTTTGTCTCATTTAATCCCCTGGGAGCACACACAACAGATTCAACTACCTAATTTTTGTAAACTGTTTCTTTTAGAGATTCAATGTAGCCATTACTCGTGCCCAGGCTCTCTTGATTTTAATAGGCAACCCGGACATGCTGTGTCTAGACGAAAACTTGAAAAGGTGGGTGTTTTTGAGGTGTTTCCAAATACATTGACCAACAGGTTGAGATCCAACTTTGTTAAGTTCTTGGCCTTTGATAAGCTTTGTAAAGAGGTACAGGTCGTATATTATTGTTAACTGAAGAACTTTAGTGCACTATGAAGACAACAAGACCTCTCAACTCAGTTTATCCTCAGATAACAATTTTGTTTAAGAACGCCGTTAACCTTGAAACGCTGATTTGCATAGCCGTCCTCTTCTAGCTTGAAATGTCTGGCCAGAATTATGAATTCACACGTTATGGCTTGTAGGTTTTTGGAGTACTGTGGTAAAAACAATGCTACTGTTGACGTAGAAAGGAAAGAAAAGGTGGTGGATATTGCAGACACTCTTAGGGGACTTGATCTTCTCCCAAGGGCATCATCAGGTAAGGAACGCTGCTTGTCTCTTCGGCGCGTCAAATTAAAACAAAATCCGCATCATCTTACAAGATCAACTATCCTGTTGCCAATAATTGGGCATTTCGTCAAATTCTAAAGCCCTCTGTAATTTCTGTTTCAGAACTGAGTGAAGATTTGCTAATCAGTCAGCGGGAACTCCAAGAACACCCAGAGTGGACTAGGCACGAGTAAATGTGTTGTGCCAGTCTGCATCTCATGGTCTCCTCAGTTTTAAGATAAATCTAAGACTATACTCACTTAATAGGTAAAGACAACATTCAAAATAGAAAACGGAAAGAGAAAAGCTGCCAGTAGTAGCTAATTAAAGCTGATTAACCACTGCCATTCATGGTTAAAAAGGAGAATAAAAGAAGCGTTCTACATCGCACGCTTCCATCCAGAACTAAACAAACAAGTGCAATCACTGGACCTCACCTTGTTCCCCATGGGAACAGGTATTACATAACTGGCATTGCCTGAACTATAAGAACACTGAGCGTATGCAGATTATTTCACTCTGATGATGATCAAACAGATCGAAAACGTTAAGACTCGTAATTTTAACAGCTTTTTACCTTAAAGTTTTATATTGTACTTTTATCGACGAAATGTATATCTGACCGATTTTCCAAAAACATGGCCGCTATTTTGGTGCAAAGTCTTAAAGTGCCCCTAAAACGAAAAATCATGTGTTTCTTTTCCAATATTTTTCAACTGAAAATGGCTATTTGGGTTCACTAGTGGATCGTAGGATGGAAAAAACTTCAAACCAAGCATTCTATGGTACGGTATTTTTGCTATGAAATCGCTGGAAATCTGTCCGCCATTACTGAAATCGTGTTCCAGTTGAGCCCGCGGAATGGCAGCGGAATGCATCAATCATGACGTCAGACTCTCAACCCTCGTTGTTGATTTCAGTGTTGTTTAGTAGGCTCTTGAGTAAAATTAAAATTTGCCGGATTAAAATTTGCTCGATGCGTTCGAACAAACCTTACCCATTTGTCGCCGTCGCTCTTATTTGCAGGGCTTGTATGCAACGAAACGCCGATACTGTGATCTGAGTAGTTGCTGCAGCCTTGAACTACACAACGACTACCAGGCATTGTCCGTTTCACCACTCTGGAAGCACGGTTTTATAAAATTATTTTACAATAACACGCTCGGATATAGAGGTTTTGTATGGGAAATTAGCCATGTGCCTTCGGTGAGTTGAGAGTCTGACGTCACTTCCTCTAAATTATAACCGCGTCTTCTCCTGGCTCACTGGAACACTGTTCGGTAATGGCGGCGGTAAATATCGCTACCTTTCCCGTTCGAAAAATGTGACTTCCCTTGCTTGTATCAAACCCAAATTTTGGGAGGTAAGTGAAAACAGCATGTACTTTCAGAAAGCGTTCAAACATAAAGACGGAAAATTTGATTTTAGGGGCACTTTAACACGGTTTTCATAAATCCAGAGATATATCGGCACAGAATGTCCTAAACTGATCACGGCGTGCTCTAGTTTTGACTCTAGATGCTTTAGAAAGATCGGCAGTAAGTAGAAACGCTCATTTTTCGGCCTTTCTGGGTCATCCAGTCTTAATCCGTTGAAATATATGTCTGGATTTATGAAAACAGTGTTAATGAAGTCAAGCGGTTTTATTTACTTTTCTTTATTATTATTTATTTATTTATCTTTTTGCTTTCCGTATGGCAGCAGCTTGTAAATCTGACCTAGCATGAAATGTAGATGACTTCTCGCTGCATGTTTCATTTATTTATCTTCTTTTTTTTTTTCAATGTGGGTTTNTTACCTAGCATAAAATGTAGAGGACTTTTTGTTGCATTTTTCATTTATTTATCTATTTTTTCATTATTCATCGCTACAACCCCCTCCCCTTTTCAATCGGTGTTAAGTTTAGCCCAGGCTACACTCGTCTGAATTTCAGTTCGCGCGGTGACTCTGAGAAGGAGCCAACCGATCAGCGTTCTATAACTGCTGTCTAAAGGAAGTCTGCCCGAGGACATCATTAAGTCCAATGATGGTGCAAGTCTAACGATTTGCTAGCAAGCGTCGTCCATTATCGTACATGAAAGGGCCCTGAGATGTACTGAAAACGGGACGTTATTTAGCCCCGTAATAGTGGGCCGTTAGCACTGTGGCGATAATGTTGTGCTTGCTTTAGACAGCAAAAAGCTTTAGCCACATCAATTTAGGGCTCAGACGTGCAATGGACTAGACATTTCTGGTTGCTGTTGGCGTCATTTGCTCTCAACTTTGATGTAGCTGTTGAGATCTGGATGTGCCATTCCGTGCTGGACAAAATTGAAGTACATCCGGGACATTGCTATTTGCGAGCAAAACATGGCCGCGAGCAGAGTGAAGAACATGAGTTTAAGCGCTGATAGTGAGTAGAATTTCCTTGTTTTATCAATTTTAGGCGTTCTCGGCTTTGCTAACTATCAGAACTGTCTGTGATTCGCTAGCGCGGAAGAAATTTATTTGCGTGGTTTCCGGGCGATAATTGACGTAATGACAACATGTTGAATGTTCGCTTGCTGCTAACTATGGCCTAGTTTGTTTGAAGTTCAATCGATTCTCGATGTAGGAAGCTCTTGNGCAATTAGTCCTAAAATTAAGAATTTGAGAAAATACAGTTCATGCACTGGCACCCTGCAAACTCCACACTATTCAAACGAGAACGAAATTGTGCCAGTGGTTGAGGATTTGGTGAGTGAATAGAAAGCTTTTTGTACAAGTTGTTTTTGCTCTTTTCTTTTTCTTTTCTTTCCACAATCCCACGGGAACGAGGCAGGAAGGTGGACAGAGAGGGACAAGGGGCGGGGCGCGGGGGGGATTTTAGTACCCTGCAGTATAGTACATTACACAACACGTAACACACATTAGACACATGACACAGCCAAAAGCGCTAAAGCGAGCTGGCTAACTGTGTGCTTGACTTCCATTATTTCAGGAACGTTTTTTGAAAAAGTTGACTTCACTGATAGCTCTGCTGTTAATAAGTTCATTACCAACGAACTCCAACTTGACGAGGCCAACAGGAATGCAATTTCCCAGGTTGTAGACCAACTGTACAAATACCTCCAACATAATCTGCCATCTCTCAGCATAAACTGCCTTGTTAAGGTAAGAGTCACCACCTTGTGTATTGAATGTTAATTTAAGGAAACTTTCATAAATTAGTGCACCACGAGGGGAGGGTATTAAAATTGGAATTTCAAAGTTTAGTTTCAAACAAGTGAAAGTACCAAAACTATGTGACCCCACCCCCTCCCGCCCCATTTTCTGTTCTATGCTGTGCAAGGCAAATTTTATCGAATGAATCCATGACTGCAGTTCTCTAAAATTGTGCTACTTGAAAATGACCAAAGAGCTAATGCAGTATTAATGTCTCAGCTTAAGACAAAAAGTTTCACCTGGTTAAGTGCTGCGTTTAGCTTACTTGCCGATGCAAATCACCACTAGTGAGTTTTTCTAAAATCCCATCTCTGCTATAGTGCCATAGTAACCAGGGGAACGTCAGGTAGCATTTCACTTCCGATAAGAAGTACTTAAGTCTTCAAAATATGTCGTGCTTAATTTGAAGTACATTAATAAAATAGACAAAGTCATGTTTACTCTAACTTCTTACTTCATTTCGATGGAACTGTTCCAAACACGATAAGAACAACAATCTCAAAAATATGTATGTCAGAAAGCAAATGAAAATCAAATTGCACAATATAAAATTGGTTTTTTTAGGGGACAATTAAATTTTGCAAATTAAATATTTTTCAGGGACAAACTCAGTCGACAGACACATAAGGGTTAGTCTCTATATCCTGAGTTTTTACCACAAAATTTTGAGAAACTATGCTCTCAGAAATGCATTTTTCTGCATTGTGGAAGCATAATTTTCCAGGTGTTTTGCTTATTTGGACTTTCTGTGTTCGTATAATGTAGTGTCAAGTCAAATCCCCAACAGGATAGAGAAAACTTATTAACTCATACATTTCTTCGGGGAGGCAGCGTGGCCAAGTGGTTAGGGTGCCGGATTTGCATGCATTGGCCCTGGGTTTAAATCCTGCTTTGGCATCGATTCAGCCCTTTTTTTTTTGTTTTTTTTTTTCAAGATGTGCTGTTTTGTTAGTAAATATCACTTGTACTTTCAACACAATTCAGGGAGGCTCTGTCGGGAAGGGAACAGCTGTCAAGGAAAAAGCAGACATCGACTGTGTCGTTTTCCTCAACAATATGAAAACCATGGAAGAGCACAAACTTAAGTTGCAGGAAACAAAGAACCGCCTGGAGTTATGCCTTAAACAGAGTCCCTATAAAGACCAAATCACCTTTGATGGACAGACACCCTTCGCCGTGAAATTCAAATTTCGCCTGGATTTGTCTCGAGAATTTAACATTGACTTGCTGCCGACATTTACAACTGATC